TCTGTAATAAGAGGAAGTCGTACAACACTCAAAACTTGCCATTGATGAAGTACTCCTTAAACAACTAATGTGCCCTCCACATTCTATTCTGCAGCACTGTTTTTATGCACGCACATCCAATTAGCCCGATGACCATGTGAGGTACTGACAAATGTGGTAAAAGAGATTAACTATAATAGATATTTTTGGAACTATTGGCAAGCAATTTCTCTTGTTATATTGTCATAAGTAAAAAGTAGCATAAATTATACAAATTGAAGTTGAAGTGCATAGCTGTGTAGGCAAAGCAATTTTGTACGTAATCATAATATATATCAACACAATGCAATGCTTTCAATAGAGGTGTAAAAATTCTGCACCTCATAGATTACGCTTACAAAACTGCTGTGCCTTAGTTTGAATACATTATCCCTTGTCCTGCCTTGACTTCGTTACTCTGCCAACTGGTTTGGGGAACTCCTAGCCACATCAGCTGGCTAGTTTTTTCAGAAAGTTCGAGTGCCTACAGCTTACATATCCTCAAACACAATGGCCACATGCAGCTGAAATCAAGGTGATGCTGCACAATCAAATCAGAAATGAACTGCAGGACACATTGTAAGATTTCTGCATATCTTGCAAGACAACAGTCCTCAATACACAGTGTGCACGTGCATCACGCAGCGCTCCTTCGTCACTTCCAAAATGCGCCACCGACATGCTCGGGTACCTACCGACTTCGTCGCCTACCGCTGCCGTGTTGTCTCCTCGTGCTTGCACCCGTTTAGTACCCTATGCATGGCACATTGTCCATTGCTGTGCATGGGTGTCGCAATATACCCCAGTTCGATTGGCCATGGGTAACATAGACAGGTGCTGACAAAGCAAACTGAATCGCCATACTTGATATAACATTATGAGCAAGTTTACGTGAGAAACAATCACAGTATTTACTAAGTAGATGAAGTAATGCACTACAAATGTGTATTATGCCTATAATCCTATAGTACATTTGGCATTAAAAATATTCATCATGCATTAAACAAACATTTGAAATACAAGTGTACTGCCACAAGGTTCCAGACAAATTGTATTACCTCAGGGTCATAGCAAGTCGCTCTGCTGAAGATATGGGCTCTCGGATGAAGGTCTCTCTCTCCAAGTCTTTCTTGACCAAATTAAGGATATAGTCATATTGTGATGGGGACATGCGATAGTACTTTTTGAAGTATTCTAGGTCCCCAGCACGCATTTTTTTCATCTGAAATAGAAACACTAATTTCGCTTTTTTTTATTTCTCAGCAAAAGTCACAAAACATAACTATGCAGATTTATGTTGACTGGCACATAAGCGAGCAGCATATCCATAGCTCAACCCTTCTTGAAATATGTGTCGCGTATATTGCATGTGTATTGCTCCATAGAGGCCAAGGAGATTACTTCATGCATGTTCCAGAGTCAGTCTCAGATGACCAAACTAGAAATCATATCTCTGGCAGTCACAAGCACAGTCGCATAACTTTAAGTAAATAAAAAGGAGTAGTTGTTCACTGATTGCCCGAAATTGCCCTCAACAAAATGTGGCCTGCAGAATACGACTTCCATGCAAGATGAAATCTATTTGTGCCAATCTGAATAATGAAAGAAGTGGTTCACTTTTAGGATTAAAATTTATGGAATTAAGGTACGCATGAAATATTTATTTTTATCGGAGCAAGCAGTGTATTGAGCACAGGACGGCTGTGCACTAATATGAAAAAAAGGGGGGGGGGGGCGCGAATCAGCCTGATAACCAGGCAGTCACAATTATTGATTGGTCCACGCAGAGTGAGGTGCTGCCATGTGTCCTTTGTCGTCGCGAACACTTTTTAATTGACAGCTCACTCGCACTGTCGATGATCAACTTACTTTTGAAGAACGTTAAAATCACATAAACAAACGAGACTAGAACGTTTTCAAACAACGCTTTCTTAGAAAGTATAGAATCGCAATGCACATTTAATGCTCTGGCAAGGAACCGTCTTGAGTTAGTATTATGCTTCGTTTTAACGAGCAGCGAAATGTTTTAATGCGTGTGCAACTAGCAATGTAACTTATTGGCGGTAATGCGATAACTGGTATACGTACCGTGGTGAAGAATTCACTCTCGGCGTGCCGCGTTCGCCATGACGGGCGCACCCACCACCTCCACTGGCGTTGATCCTCCAGCATCATTTGGGCCAAAAGGACCTTCTTCTTTAACAGAAGCAGTCGCTTTCGGCGCTTAGTCAAAACCATGTCGGCGACCCGCGAACAACAATAACAGGCAGCCGAACTAGAGTCAAAGGTCTCTCTAATCAAACACGACACAACGCTGACTACTGCCACTGTTGCCAACATCTTGAAGCGACTCCTTCTAAACTGAGTGGTAGTTACACAGACGTGCGTATACAAACTCACTACGTTTTCCTGGAATAGACTGCAGTAACTAAATTTTTTGAGTTTCTTTTTATATTTTGTTATGTTGAAGTCAAGAAAGAGAGGACTTTTACGTACTTTTTCTTTTGTAAAGACATTGCTGGTCAGGCAGCGCTGTGAAAGGCGGAGCGTCAACTATCCGGCGAACCGGCAGTTTTTGCTCCATGTGTCTCAAAACGTCGCAGGGAAAATCGCATGTCTGTCTCGCGCTTTACCTGCACCATCATCACCATTATGTATCGAAAAAACTGAGGTCTGTATCTGGTGGGCAGTCTTCGAGGGCAAGGGTTTTCGTTCGAGAGCACTATCTGTGGTCGTGGAAGGGTGGCGACCATTGCAGCGATGGCCGCCATGAACATTGGATCAGCAGTGTTGGGACTCCGGGTCCTGCCGGTCTCGTTTTCGATAGCTGGCCCCGTAGCAGGATTCATCGTCCGACAATTCAGTGAGAAGAAGCGCCCGAACAAACGACAGAGATTTATTTACATGTTGAGAAGTGATCAACCGATCCAAAGAGAGAAGAGAGATACAAAACGTCTTCGGCATTTTATAGCGCCGTGTTGCCAACACTGGGCGCATTGTCCGCATCGTCAGCCAATACGGTGGCCCCGGCACCTCGGCCACGACGGAGGGGAAATACACCTCACAACACATGGAGGTGCACAACCTAACACGATGCCCAAATATGGTCACGACGCCCTAAAAATGCCCAAACATGGTCATGAACGCACAGCAGATTTTGGAATTCTCCCGGCGAGAGGGAGGAGCCTGAATAGGGAGGTGGGGGTCGACGACACAGTCGGTCAAGAACCGGTTCTCCCCGCAACTCCTCTTGCTTGGTTCCCTAGCGCAAAACCAGTGCGTTGACCTTTGTTTTCGCTTGGCTGCAAGGCCGTCTCAGGTGCAGGCTATCCCGGGAATGCGTCGACGATCTCCCAGAGGGGTTCGCAAACCTTTGGAGAATCCCAACGCTGGGGCCGGTCGTAACAGTCTCTCGCGCGGGGCGGTAAAGATCTCAATGGGCTGAGGTTTGCAGCCACTGTCCGGAGAGATCAGCGCCGGCAGTCGGTTTGGTGACGACCGTCTTTGATGAAGTAGAGGGCACCACCTGCTTCATTGTAGGCTCAACAGACATCACATACGCACATGAAAACACAACTACTCAGCCGGTGAGCGCCGGACAATTCCGCCAAACTCCACCAGGCAATTTTCCCCTTTAACTGATATTAAAGGAAATACACAGTTTATTCAAAATGTTACTCATACGTTAAGGTGACACAAAACAACAACACTGGAAGCACACCGAACCCGAAACCCTGGATAGCCGTGTCTTCAACGTTTTCAAACAAGTACACCTAAAAGAGTAAAAAACAAAAACAATCACTAGCCCTTGTCTAGGTCAGGAAAAAAAATGCCAGAGTTCTTGAGACATCCTCTCGCGTCAGGGGCATCGACTTAAAGCCATCAGCGTTGCCATGGAGTACACCCTTTTTGTAGCGTATTTCAAACGTATGTTGTTGCAAAACGAGGCTCCAACGCGGCAGGCGGCCGTTCCTAGAGGACATGGTCTGTAGCCAGGTGAGAGGACAATGGTCCACTTCCACAATGAACTTGTTTTTGGCAATATAACAAGCCAGTTTCTGGACTGCCCAAACCAAGCACGCACATTCCTTTTCGCTAGCGCTGTAAACCTGCTCGCGAAGGGCGAGTTTCCGGCTAACATAGAGGACGGGATGCTCTTCATCCCCCTCATCCCTTTGACTAAGAACTGCCCCCATGCCTCTATCACTAGCGTCGCATTGGACAATGAAAGGCCTCGAGTAGTCCGGTGAACTAAGCAAAGGTTGGCTCGACAAGGCCGCTTTCAAAACGCGGAAAGCCTTTTCTTTCTCCTCATCCTAGTCGACCATTTGGGGCTCGGTCTTGCGCAACGCGCCGGTAAGAGTGCTGGCAATGTCGGAATATCTAGGAATGTACCTACGATGGTAACCGGCTATTCCAAGAAAAGCCCGAATATCTGTTTTCGTTCGGGGCTGGGGAAAGTCTCGGATAGCTGCCACTTTCATTTCAGAGGGACGGCGATGCCCTCGACCGATAACATGCCCGAGATAGAGTACCTCTGCTTGTGCTAGCTGACACTTGGGCGCCTTTACCGTTAAATCTGCTTCGCGTAGGCGTGTCAGTACTGCTCTCAAATGCGCCAAGTGTTCTGGCCAGGACGAGGAAAACACGGCGACGTCGTCCAAGTAAGGCAATGCGAAGTCCTCTTGACCCAGCAAAACCTTATCCATTAAGTTTGAAAAACAGTAAGGCGCGTTCTTTAGGCCGAAACTCAACACTTTAGGGCGGAATGGCCCCAATGGTGAAATAAATGCAGCATACCGGCTGGCTTTCTCGGTGAGCGGCACCTGCCAGTAACCTCTGACTAGGTCTAGCGTTGAGATAAATTCCGCGCTGCTTACCCTCTCGACGCGTTCCCCAATGTGGGGAATTGGGTATGTCTGATCCTTGGTGATGAGGTTTAACCCCTTAAGGGCTCATTAAACAAATATATTATGCACCAATATGGCCAAATTTTTTAATGATGTGATATGCTTCAGAAACGTGTTCAAAACACAAAAATATTTGCGAAAATTGTTTATAGTCGATAATCATGTTTAATTGGTCATTCTTTACCCCATATAATACCCTATATTTGGGGCATTTCTGGTGTATTCACAAATTAATTTCTGCAACTCCAGAAAGCACGGGTCGGGTTTGAATTGCCTTGCAGAAAACAAACAATTTCTTGATAGTTCACTTGAAGCTAGTTGAGGCTACCATCCGTGTGGTAGCGTTCAAAGCACGGCACTGCGCAGAGAGCCTTCTCGCACCACCTGCACCAGGTCCTGGTTTCCTTGCGGATGTTCTTGCCATTTACATCTCGCTTCATGTAGCAGACTACGCACCGGCGTGTCGGTTCTTGCTTCTTCTCTGTTGGTGGTATGTGCGATGGAAAGTGGCGCTCACCAAACCGTTTTGCGTTCAGGGGGCGCCCTGGCCGTCCTTTCTTCTTGGTGCCGGTGTTGGGAGAGTACTTCGTGATGATCTCATCAATAAGCCTTAGCCTATACTCCAGATGAGATGCTCGGCCTCCTCCTTTCTGGTACAGAACGAATGAATTGTAGGTCGCCTCATCCAAGAGGTGTTGAAAGATCTTCTTGTAGGAGATCTTTTTTCGTTTCCGTGGCACTGAGTAGCTCGCCAGCATCTGATCTGCTCTGTCAACTCCTCCCATTGTATGGTTATAATCAAGTATAACTTCTGGCTTCAGGGTTTCTTTGCCCATTTTGTCAATGAATCGCGCCATTTCAGCACTATGTACTGTAGATAGAACCATCACCAGTTTTTTGTCCATCCACTGAACAGCCAAGCACTTGCCCCTTTGAAAGGCAACCATCTCGCCTTTCTTGAGCTTTGCCTTGGCGAAACCAGGCGGAAGGTCTTTGCGAGTGGCTCGCGTCGTGCCATAGATGTCAGTTGATCTCTTCAAAAGAAAGTCAACCAGTTCTGGTGAGGTGTAGAAGTTGTCAGTTGTGACGCAGTAGCCTTTGTCTAGCAGGGGCTCCAGAAGCTTCAAAACAACTTTCGTCGCCATTCCGAAGGTTGCTGCTTCTTCTGACGAGATCTCAAAGTTCGTTTCTTTCCCTGTATAAATTACAGAGTTCCATATATACCCACTTGAAGATTCGCACAGCAAAAATGACTTTATGCCAAACCTCGCTCTCTTCAGGGGCATATACTGCTTCCAGCTGAGCCGGCCTTTGAAGAGCAGCAAGCTCTCGTCGACACTGACGTCCCGCTCCGGCACATACAATGTCCGGTATTTTTCAAGAAGTGCCTGATAAACCGGCCAGATTTTCCTCAGATGAGGTTGAGGGTGTCCTTCACAATTTTCGATTGTCGTGTTGTCGACAAAGTGCAACATTCTCATTATTAGTTCGAAGCGGTTTCTGGACATTATCTCGCCAAAGACCGGAGTCTCAACCAGCCGATTCCTAGACCAGTACATCCTTTCATTTGGTTTTTGCACAATGCCTTGCAGCAACAGGAGGCTCAGAGAAACGCGAAGTTCTTCTCGCGTAAGTGCATACCATTTTCGGAAGCGAGAATGTTGTCCCAGCTTGCTAGAATTCAGAAGCTGAGAAGCGTACTGGTTTGTCTCCACGACGATAACATCAAGCAGCTCATCATCAAAGTAAGCTTCAAAGAGCTCAAGTGGATGAGGGGGAGAGCTTACTGTGATCTTCAGTCCCGTGAAACCCCTGAAATCAAACCGTGGAGGTCTGGCTGGGATGTTGTCGAGGTCTATGCGAAACCATTCACGGGAGCTAGCCATTGTATCATCGCTACTGTCTTCTCCTTCAGAGTCACTGTCCATAAAAACGTCATCACTGTCTTCTTCACTTGAAGAATAAAACACTACGGTGGCATCCTTATCACTCTCGCTTTCATCGTCTGAAGAAGGAAGATTCTCCGCATCAGAACGCCGCACGGATGAGGCCATGTTTGTAAAACGCGCGGGAAACAAGCGCACACATTCCGCCATCTAGTGTGCAAACTATAACCACCGCCAATGACGGAACTTGCGGTGCTTAAACATAGATGGCAGCACAGGTTCCGTAAATCCCCGTTTGACGACCCGGGCTCGTCAAAAGCCTGTAGGAGCATTGCGGAAAACTCATGACGACCACAACTCGTCATAAGCAAAATAGTGGCAACTGCTCTTGACGAGCGCAGGTCGTCATAAGCCTTTAAGGGGTTAACTTACGATAGTCTACGCAAGGACGCGGATCTTTGCCGGGTACCTCCACAAGAATTAACGGGGAAGTGTAATCACTTTAACACGGCTCAATCACGTCCAATTCCAGCATCCTGTTAACCTCTGCTTTTATTAGCTCAAGCCGGCGAGGTGACACCCGATACGTCTTAGATCTTACCGGTTCCGACGAGGTAAGCTCTATGTCATGAGTGAGGACGAATGTCCGGCCTGGCTCGCTTACAAATCTGTCCTGAAACTCGGTCAAAAGACCACGCAATTCTTACTTCTGCTTCATTGTCAGCTGTGACTTTGATACTAAATCCTCAACTCCTTTCTCGATCGGGACTTCGTCCGATTCGGGAGCTAATTCAGGAATTTCTGCCGGAACCTCTTCCGGAACATTTAAAGTCATGTTCACAATGGCTTCCCTCTCTTTATAGGGCTTGAGTAAGTTGCTATGATACACCTGGTGTACCTTATGACTTCCTGGTAATTTTACCACATAGTTGGTGTCAGACAATTTTCGAGTAATCTCGGCCGGGCCGACCCATTGCACTTCAAGCTTATTCTTTTGGGAGGGCCTCAACAACATGACCCTGTCTCCTACAGCAAAGTGTCGCGCTTTAGCTCTTCGATCGTAGTAAAGCTTAGCCTTCTGCTGTGCTTTGGTCATCGCACTCTCGGTCAGTTCTTGGGCTTTTGTTAGACAATCCAACAAGGTGAGGACATATTCCACTACTACAGGATCATCACCCTGACCTTCCCACGACTCTCTCAGCATACGAAGAGGAGATTGCAGTCTGCGGCCGTAAACAAGTTCCGCTGGCGTAAACCCTGTTGTCTCATGTGGTGCAGTTCTTAGTGCAAACATCGTTGCAGGTAAGCACATTTCCCAGTCAGTTTTTCGTTCAAAACATAAGGCTCTTAACACTCGCTTTATCACGGAGTGAAGCTTCTCTATCGAGTTCGACTGCGGATGGTAGACTGAACTATGCAATAATTTCACGCCACACCGCTCTAGAAAGGTTGTCGTTAAGGCACTCGTGAAAATGGTGCCCTGGTCTGATTGTATCTCCGCAGGAAAGCCTACCCGGGCAAACACGGACAGAAGTGCGTTCACTACTTCCACAGAACTTAGCTCTTTTAGCGGGACCGCCTCTGGAAATTTAGTAGCTGGGCAGATTAAGGTCAGGATGTGACGGTAGCCTGAAGTTGTCTTGGGCAAAGGACCTACTGTGTCAATTACCAACCGACGAAAGGGCTCCGTGATTACGGGTACCAGCTTCATTGGAAATTTCGCCTTATCTCCCGGCTTACCCACTCGCTGACACACATCGCAAGATTTTACAAACCTCTCTACATCTTTAAAGCATCCAGGCCAGTAGTATTCCTGTAAAAGACGATTTTTTGTCTTCTTTACGCCTAAGTGGCCTGACCATGATCCTCCATGCACCAAACTAAGCAAATCCTGACGATACGCCTGAGGTACGACTACCTGGTCAAACTCTACTCCTCGCCTATCTAGATATTTTCGATAAAGTATGCCGCTCCTTTCTTGGAATCTCACATTTCGTTTGGCGATTCCCTCTTTCGAACTGTCCTGGAATCGCTTAAGCGTCGGGTCACCTTTTTGTTCGTTTATTAATGAAGCGGGGCTCACCTGCAGCAGCCGACTGAAATTATCCGAAGTTGGCATGACACACAACTCTTTTGTAGTTCGTAGTACCTGGAATGTGTCACCCTCTGTGCTATCCTCTGTACTACCAGGAATCGGCTTGGGAGCAACGGCATTTTCTATTTGCTCGGTCAACAAGGTGTAATTGACCCTTCCAATTCGGGAGGAGGTTCATCGTCGCCTTTAGGAATGGTTGCCTCCGCGACTACGGCTTCTGCAGCCGGTTCTCGCACAAGTCGATTTGTTACCGTGGTGTCCAACTCGCAACCAGGCCCGTTGTCGATTTGAGGCTTGTTTGCCTCAGTGAATGTTGCTCTCGCAGCCAGCGCACGTGCCTTCGATCTAGTCAGTGCCTGCACTATGCCTTCTCCCAACGTTAGACCTTTCTCCTTCAGCATTTGATCTGACTTATTTGAAAATAAGTAAGGATACTGAGGGGGTAGATATGGCGATACAGCGGCTTCTGTTTCCAACGTACCAAATGCGCTTTTAAGGACAACTTTAGCTACGGGAAGGCACTGACTGTTTGCTTCTACGGCTTGTCTAATCCAGGCACAGTTTCCTGAATACTGTCCAGACTGAACAAAGGACGGATGAACTACGTCCATAGTGGCTGCGGAGTCTCTAAGAACCCGACACTGCTTGCCGTTCACGGTAAGGTCGTATATATTGTCACGAGGTTGTGATACACGCAGCACTTGAGAGGAAGCACGCAGGAGTCAGGGCCGTGTCAGGCGAACTGTTTATTGGGCGAACTTGTGCCCAGCAAAACAAGGCCAAACACAACTCACAGCAACAGCGGCGTGAACAGTCGTCGGCCGACGGAAAAAGACTGACCAGTGGCGCACTGCGCCGGCTTTTATACACGCGTCGTAACGCGTTCCAGAGTGGCATACAAGATAAGCGCGGCCTGCGTTGCGCTCAACAGAAAGTGATAGCGGCTTCTTTCGTAAACCAAAAGAACCGCACGTGTCAGTCTTTTATACACGCGTCATAACGCGTTCCAGAGTGGCATACAAGATAAACGCGGCCTGCGTAGCGCTTAACAGAAAGTGATAGCGGCTTTCTTCGTAAACCAAAAGAACCGCACGTGTCACTACCCCCCTCTGAAAAAGCATCGTCCCGGTGCTAAAGACAGAACATAAGAGAGAGTACATGCAATAGATTACATTAACAATGCGTCACAGCTAATCAGTGCGCGTAATAAGGTTTGAGTCGCACCACGTGTACGACTTCGGGTCGTGCACGGCGTCGTTGGGATGACGTTAAGCCATCGGGCACGACCTCATAGTCCAGTTCACCACGACGTCGGACTACCTTGTAGGGTCTAAAGTAGCGTCGCAGGAGCTTCTCAGACAATCCCCGTCGTCGTATCGGCGTCCAGACCCAGACAAGGTTGCCGGGTTGGTATTCGGTGTGGTGTCGTCGAAGGTTGTAGTGGCGCCTGTCGACCGTCTGTTGGCTCTTGATATGCAGGCGGGCTATCTGTCGAGCTTCTTCAGCGCGATCCAGGTAGCTGGCGACGTCGAGGTCTTCTTCGTCGGTGCCGACCGGTAGCATGGCGTCAAGCGTCGTTGTTGGGCTCCGTCCGTAGACGAGCTTGTATGGAGCAAACTGCGTCGTTTCCTGCACGGCCGTGTTGTACGCGAAGGTTACATACGGGAGTATGGCGTCCCACGTCTTGTGTTCGACGTCCACGTACATGGCCAGCATGTCGGCGATGGTCTTATTTAGACGCTCGGTGAGGCCATTCGTCTGTGGGTGGTACGCGGTGGTTCGGCGGTGGCTTGTCTGACTGTACCTCAAGATCGCCTGCGTTAGGTCAGCCGTAAAGGCCGTACCTCTGTCGGTGATGAGGACCTCGGGGGCT